ACACACACACACACACACACATATATATATATATATATATATATATATAGAGAGAGAGAGACTAAATTTTTTTCTAAAATAACGTGTTTAAAAATATATGAAATATTACATGTGAATAATATGTATTTTGCACTCTAAAGAATAATAGTAATTACATGCGTGAATTATATGTATTACCGACAAAATATGCATGAATAATATGTAATACAACCTCCTCAACATAAGACATTACATATTCTGATAGAGAATTATATAAGAGATATAAAATATAACAGTTTTAAATTGGACAAATGCCCTATTATAAGATATAAAATTATTAGTAGTTTTTTTCAGTCGAACAATATTTAGTTGGACAACTCTCTGGTTATATGTATGAAAACATTTTATATAGTAGATTTATATATATATAGAAGTGCGCTCAAATGAGAATGAAACACAATGAAAGAAATAAGAATGATCTTGAACCATTAGATCCATCCAATCAATGTACATGATCAAGTCAAACTTGGTCAATCATTAATGGCAATATAGTAAATAAATAGTAATATTATGGTCAAATATATGTTTTTGACCAATAATTAAGGGTAAAGTAGTAATAAATAATGCCAACTTAGTGGGACCCACATCCAACATCCTCCAACAACCTAATTAATCATCACGTACCCCATCTCTCCTCTCTCACACACACCATCACCTACACATCCCCCTCTTTCACACACATCACGCACTAATTTTCCAGCAAAACACACACACACACAATCGGAATACACACACACGAACTGAGCCCACCGGCGCCGGGCAATAACAGACCACGCCAACACTCCCGTCCCCGCCGCCGCCAACACTCCCGTCGCCTCCGCCGCCATCATCTCCGACGGTCCCTGCATCCAACATTGAGCCACGTGCGGAATCTCCTTGAATCTGGCCGCCGACTGTCCCGTTGCTGCCGGAATCACCACGAGATTTGCCGCCTCTGCCACCGCGACATCGCCGTGATCAATTTTCGATTTTTCCGGCGGATAGGTTGTTCGAAGCCTTTGTCCAGCAGTGGTCTCTTCGCCGTGTTCTGGGAGCTCCATGGTCGCAGGGCGGGGCGTGAAGTTGTGAACGATGATGATGTGGTGACGATGAGCAGGCTTTGATCGGCGACGAGACCTAGAATTGCAGGCGGAGATGGTGTCGCCGGAATCGGGGTCGGACGCTGTGACGATGAGCAGATTCACAGTGGTTGACGGCAATAGTGATGGAGTCAAGAGCCGCCGTCAAGGCGGCGGCGTGCGGCGGCGATCGAAAATTGATCAAAGCCTAGGGACGAATTTGTACAGAAATTGTGTGTGGGGATGAATTTGTACAGATTTTGTGTTGGGTCATGCTTTGGAAATTAGACATTTTCAAAGGACTCATATGCAATTTCCAATTTTTAATATACTTGCAATTTAATACTTAGGGCTAATATGTAATATAATGAAAGCTAAATAAATGCACAATAATACTGAATAAAATGTACAATATTGCCTGAGAATATGCACAATAAAAAATCACTTAATATTTTTTTACGAAATTATATTTCATCGTTTACAAATTTAAAATTGCATAATTTAAACAAAACAAAAAAAAGAGAGAAAAAAAAAATGATATCAAACCAAATTTTTAAAAGTGTATAATTTAAACAAAAAAAAAATCGATAGGAAACCAAAGTAACCGACATTTTAAACGTAAAAACAAATAATCGAATTCGAAAATATAAAAATTCAATCGAAAAATTTAGTTCGTTTGGCTTCGGTCGCTATCGTTCAATCTAATAGTCATTAATATTCAATTAGTCTGACACTATTGTGTACTCACAATAAATATATTTTTTTAATAATTTGTCCCACTCCAAATTAATTAAGAACTGAAATAATAGATTTATTGGATCGGATAACCAAAATACTATAAATAGTAGAAGCGATTGATTTTGTAATAATAAAAAAAATATATTTAGAAATTTTTATATATTATTTTTAGTTGAAATGACATAATTATAAAATTTTGAAATAAATAAAGTGCATCCCTGCAGATATTAATGTGCATTTCCTGTAACATTATTGTGCAGTCTATTGATCGGAAGTACTTTTATGTGCATTTCAAATTTAGGAAAGTCAATAATGTGTTTTCAATTAGCATTATTTTTCTAAATATCAAATTGTTTATATAGTAAAAATAGACTTATTAATGTTGATTTTTATTTAATAATTTATATTGTCGTATGTCAAAAATAAATAATATATGTATTTAAAAATATAAAAAATATATTTTTTATATAGTTCGATCAATTATGATATTCCAATTTCTTTGTTTAAGAAAAAAGGACCAAAATTTTCATATTATGTGAAAAATCACACTAGCATACACCGCTTGTTTTCATTGTCGTAGGATTCAATGTGTGGGTATATCACTATTGTGCATTCGCACAGTGACTAATATGCATCTTGTTTATCACTATTATGCATTCTGTATTGCTGGTATTTTTTTACGCGTATTTTTTTATATGCAAATCTAAACTAAAATCGAACAAGATAATCAATTCGATTAGTTAACTTAATTAACTAAATAATTGTAATAATTATTATTTATATTATAAATTTATATTTCATTATTTTAATACTTGTATTTAATAGTTTATGTCATTTTTAGTTGGTAATATATATTATATGTAGGTGTATATAAAACAATATAAAAAATAATATTTTTTTATAACTTTTTATAAATTGCATATTTGGCTCATGTGTTAAATTGTAATGTAATTAAATTTTTTGAATTTGCAATTGTGACCCTAAACATTATCCAATTTTCACAAGCATGCCCCCTAAATTTCCCGTCGGTTGATGTCCTGTGCCGGAGCTTCACCGACCGCTGCTCTCTGCGTTATCATATCCTCGCTGGTCGCCGCCGTCTCGCCGGCAGTCGATGTATTTGGACGGAATTTTCGGGGACGGTCGAGCTCCAATCTCGCCTTCAACTGTCCGAATGTGGACAGAATTAGGCACAAAAGGACCGAGCATAACGGCCAATTAATTTCGCCTCGACCAATTCATTCCGTTGCTGAATTCGTCGGGGCTGAGTTCGTGAACAACAGCCGTTCTCTTGTTGAGTCGTGGTACATCGGCGTCAATCTCCGGCGCGGCTGAAGGGAACGCGCTGGTGGCCAGGGAAGAAACAGTTTGGCGGCAGCGGAGGAAGGTGACGGCGACGATGTCGATTCTGACGGTGGCGGGCGGCCGGACCGACGATGGATGCGGATGAAACACGTCTGTGCGTGTAAATGTGTGCGGAGGTGTGTGTGTGTTTGTGTCATTGTGTGAGAGGGAGAGAGGTGAGGTGAGATGAGAGATACGTGTGATTGATAGATTGAGATAGACTTGTTAAGTGGAGTGGGACCCACGTGTGGGTGGTTTGGAAGATTGGATTGCGTGCTGAAATTACTTTACTGCCCATATTGAATTTATGAATATTGAGTTTTTTTATCCGTCCGATCAATCAATCGAATGATCAATATGTATTCTTATTTCTTTCATTGAGAACCATTCTCACCGGAGCGCATCCCTATATATATATATATATATAGATTTTTCATAGCATATTTATATTTTGTCTATACGAAAATAGAAATATTATTTACTATAGAGAGTTTCAAAAAATTTATTTTTAAAAAAAATTGTAAAAAACAACACCATAAAAAGAGATTTGTGGACGTTTTACCGTAAAAAGTGGATTTGTATATATCTCATAACAAATCGTTCCTTCATAAATAAATTTAAATAATCCTATAAAATTGTATTTTGTGTATATAACACATATGTCAATCTGAATCGTCGTTCTAATAAATATGATAGAATAAAAAAGAATCCTCTGTAGATGAGAATTTTGAAATCGACGTTATATAAATTTAAATAGTACTATGATATTTTTTTGTATATATTTAATGTTATTTTATATAATTAGACAAGTATAAAAGTATCAGACAATATTATTTAGCTAATCAAATATAACCGATATTAAAATGATAAACCAACAACATTTTTTAAAATACCATGTAAATTATCCAATTAAGTTCTAGTGGCATCATTTCCCACTTATAGTTTGTATGCATGATGATAAAGAATAGTCCAGTTTTTAGTCATGACTAATTATTTGTTGTTTCGTGTGTAAGTAATAGAAATGAGTTGAAAATATGAGTTTGTGGTAAAAGAAGTTGTCCTGTAATCAAACTAATAATATTGTGTACAATTAGGTTTTTAATAATATATTATTTTTTTCTAGAGGAACATTTTTATGATTTGACAATTTTTCCACATATTATCACTCTTTTATTTATTAATACACTTTAATTTATAATATTCACTCTTTTATTTATTAATACACTTCAATTTATAATATACCATAAAAAAATATAGCTCGTGCATCGCACGAGTTACGTACTAGTATATTGAAAGAGGATGCTAAATAAATCATTTGTGGAAAGTTCATAAAAAACAGAGTAAACCCATTTGACTTACTACTTATGGCAATTGTTTAAAAAATCCGATTGGCTAGATTTGGTTAAATTTTTTCGTTTTATTTTTTGTTAATATATATACAAAATCATTTCATATTTTGCGCATTGTCTCCAAGCATGATAATATTGTTTGAAAAAATTGATATACATTTTATCCCAAAGTTATAACAATATTCCTTATTTTATGCAATATAAAATATGTTCACGCGAATCTGAAAGAGCTTCAATATTACACAACTCTATTTATCCATTTATTTTTTTTATTGTAATTTAATTTAAATAAATAGATGGGCCCACATATTTTATTAAACGCAATCACTTAATTTTATATAAAGGATAAATTAAAGTGTGGAATAATTTAATACAATGGAATAACTATCGCACGTTATAAAATATTTAAAGTGTGGAATATTAAAATTATCCTGATTTGCCATTAGTCCAATTTTCTTGTGTTATTTTAGAGTGTGGAATAAATAACTTTCATATTTCATGCATTAATATCTTTTTTTTTTCCAAAACGACAGATTATATTATAAATCAAAATGCACAAATGTGTGAATACACAGCAGTCAACGACTGAATACACAGCAGCCAACAGCTGAAAAAGTGGGAGGACAGGTCAAAAGACCGCCTAGAGATCCGACTAGCAACGCTACAATAAACCTCACAATTAAAACTAACCAACTAAAACAACAAACAACAACTAATAAGACCCCAACGGAGTAATACCCCAGTGTCGGATCCCAACGGGATAATAAGGTGACACTCGAGTTCACAGAGGCCAACGGCCCAGACAAAAAACACAAGACCTAAAAAAACAACAAACACAACAATAAGAACTATACTAATAATACTAAACGAACAAGCGCAACCCTTCCCCAACAGAAGTACCGAATCCAGCACAAAGCACCAGCAAAATAAGGGCAAACCCACCCTCTGCGTGATCCGAAGTCCAGAACGCCAATCCCGCCACTGCCTAAACGCCTAGCAAAGGACGAGTCCCGAATCCCTAAACCAGCGCACAACCCACCGCCCCGAATCCGACCATCACCACTGGCCCAAATCCGAGAACACCGGGCATCCCCTTCCAACACACCAAAAGAGAAGAGAATCGGGGAGTTCGAACCTCATCCAGCTGAACTACCCCACTGGATCCTGGAGACCAATAACCCGAACCCTCTATCCGACCACCATCACCCGAGCGTCGAGGACAACAGCCCAGCCCGGCCAATCGACAGCCAACTTCAAAACCCCGCATCGGAGTCGAGAATAACCAAAAGGTTCGGAGCACCTTCTCCACCCCAATCCCTAGGACAGGAAATTGGGGTCGCAGCCCTCGCCAATCGAACGCCTGAGGACCGCCGCAGCAAAGATGCCGGAGGAGAATCGGTCGCCCGAAGCCGTCTCAGCACCATGAACAACGACACAGGAACTCGGGATTTACCATCTCCCCGGCGAAGAAGCCCCCCTCAAAACCGGCGAACTCTTGACAAACGGGCAGCGTGACCCAGTGGAGTCGCCACCGTGCACTAGTTCGGTCTC